CACTGCAAATTGGAAGGTTTTGAATCTTTGCATAACCTTTAAAGGGCAAAACAGTTGCCCATTCACATGCATTCAATTATACAGTGACTAGTTCATAACAGCAAAAAATAAAAGACCCATAAAAATATAAAAAATATTTAGAAAAACAAACTTTGCATTCATCAAATACTACTTTGAACTCTTCAGGCTTCATGTAGAGAGTTCACTTTACATAACACAAAGAGATTAAAGAGCAAAGGAGACTTGCTTGGCTTGGTTGTCTCCATTTTATCAAAGTACTAAATTCAGCCTATCACTGTAATTGCTAGAATGCAACATTACATTACTGAATCTCACTGTAAGGAGTTTCTAAAATCAACTGTATATAAAAGAAGCAATATAAATATATTAATTGAATGACTACGTTTGTGCTATTGCTAGGAGAAAGGGAAATGTACCTTTGCTAACAGGCCATACAGGGGAAATCATAAAACAATTACAGCCACTATGGAATAATTTAGGAGACAGAAAGAAGTGATTAAAAGGGCTTTATCTAATATAAGCAAATCATCTCTGATTCCTTAGTTATATCCCATACCCTACATGGACCACTGTGACCAAAACAGAACATTTTACTTATAACTTATATATTCAATTTTCATCTCATTTCCATGCAAATTAGAGGTCTTATAGTTTCCAATGATAATACCAATCAATTGCCTAAGCAGGTCAGATATACACCAATTYCAGTGACTAGTTGCTTATCATTACAGCACAGGATGAAAGCCAACATATACATGTGATGTACACATTGGAAGTAGGTGGGTTTTGGAAATCTTAATAGAAACTGAGAGTATAATATCAATATGTTTCCAAAAACTCTGTAGATACCATTTGCAAACTGCAATAGTATGCTCCAGTATAACTCATAGGTTGTGTTATAACTTTGGAGCAGTATATTTAATAATGAGAGCACACAGATATATTCAGTGTTTAAAATATGTTGGAATTCCCAGTTGCAGTGTTAATAAACACATCCCAAAATATCCCTAAATAGGGGGCAAATTTGGTTTTTGCTTTTTGCATTTTAACTCTAGCAAATAAAATTATCTCCAAAAGAAAATTGAAGAACAAATATACTGCATATAAAAATGGCTCTAAGAGTAAAATTTAATTATGAATGACCTTGTTAAATGATGAAAACAGTTGTGCTGCAGGTCAAATCATGTGAAATAGTGAAAAACTACATACTTAGAAATGTAGACTTTTAATTAACTTTTATTTTTGGTAAAGTGTTTTTCCCTCATTAATACAGTCAACATTGTATGTGGGTTCCATTAAAAACATTTTTGYGTGTGCATACATAGGTATAAAAAGATTATATAGGTAGATCTTACAGAGAAATGTGTTTAAATATTACTTTCCTTACACTGTAATAACTTACCATTCCTCCTAAAATTTCTATAAGAAGCAAAAGACAAATATTAGTTTTACTTAGATGACAAGGACGCTGAATCACTGTGCTGAATGAAAAGAATCAGACCTTCTGAAAATTACCCAAAAGCCAATAGTCAATGACAACTAAAAAAGATAAACTAACTTCTAGGTCTCTGTTTGCTAGGTCTGTCTATTACACATCTCAGATTGTACTTCAAACCTCAAATAAAACTGTTCTCTAAAAGGACTCATGGTAACTCAATATAAAATTGTTCCTTCTCTTTCAATGGAATAATTAAGTAGTTCAATATGCTTTATGTAGTTCAAACTAAAGTTAACCAAATAATTTCAAACAAAATGGCAAATTCATCATATTACATGGTATTACAAAATGAATGATTCAAAAGTAAGATATATCAGGTGAAATACTGTACAAGCATGTGGGCCAAATATGATATTAAGTCAGTTGGCTTGGCCTTCATATCTTGCAGCAGTCTGTATTAATGCATTTCTTCTTTTTGTTTTGATGGGACCTTACTAATAACAGAGTGATAAATTACATTTGTAAATATCAGGCATAGATCAAAGGGGACAATGTTGGATGCTTATTTTACTTCAACTTGTGATTTTTCACCAAGAAAACATTGTGCATTGCTCAGTAAAGTTCCTTATTTTTACTTGAATTTTCAATGAAAACAGCTGCAGAATAATGTGACTTAATGAGGCATCCCTAATAAAATATTGCAGAATTAAAAGCAGGAGCACTGAACTGTTTGCACTCTGGTTGTTTCATCTTTTTAAATATATTTGAAATAACTGATGACACTTTGGAACATTCCTTGTTGGGACATGCATTAGAGAACTCATCAGTAAATGTTCATCAGTTTGCAATTACAGCTGAACTTGGTACAGTCTGACAGTACTTTTTTTTAGGAGGCCTTGATAAGAAATGTCTGGGAAGTGGTGGAGAGATTACCTGAATAGAGTAACCCATAATACGAAATTAGTGATATATCCACTTTAAGATGTACTTTGTATATTTCAATATAAAAATACATTTCAAGATGGTCATAAAACACTATATGGAAGATATTTGATCCAGCACTAGTAAAATTTTCTGATAAGACAAAAAAATAATTTCTCCGAAATTTTCCATCACCCCCTAATTTCATCATTTTATAAATTTTTAAAAAGGAAAAGTGGCCATGTCTAAAAGCAGATCTTCTTTTTTACAGCCATGTCATCACATTTTTTAATCTGGTGGTTAGTAAATACTATAATGCAGTCTCTAAACAATATATATCCATTTTGATACACATCCAGAGGCATCTCAAACCATCTTCATTCTCCCACTTGTCATTATTAAAGTAGATAATATTTTTCCGATTCAAAAAAATCACACATACTCAGAAACCTTGGATTCCTCCCCAGCATAACTTGTAGCATTATGTAGGTGTCTGCTTTAATGTCAAGGTTTTCTGGTTCTTCTTTAAGAGTCATATAGCACTAGCTGTGATCTAGCATTCTAAACTACTATATATTTTTAAAAGCAAGAGAAGTATCAAGATTTTAATCTTTAAAAATACCCAATTTTAATAAAGCACCCACTAAAACTGTGCTTGCCTCTTAAAAGACTCCCTATGCTGAGGTATTCATTTGTCAGTGACATTGTTCTGAAAGTCTTATATCTAAAAATAATACAACCCAGTTGTTTCATTGAAAATTAGGAAAATGAAAGTAAAATAAGCTTCTATGTGGTTACTGATGGCCTTTAAACAATTATTGATGCCTTTAAAAATTAGAATTCTTAAAAGGTCAGGATCTAAACTATTGACTCACAATGTGATCCAGAACAGAATAAAGTAGAGAAAGAGACAATTAAAAGTGCCAGCCCTTTTATTTAAAATATATGATGTTAGAGGCCAATTTTGAAATTTTAAATGATTCACCAGTCTGAGAGTACATATGCGAACATGGAAATGTTGGAGTAAATACAAATAGCTCTAAGGCTTCATTTTTAAAAGCTTTAAAAAGTATTTTTAATCTTGTTATTAGTTATTTCAGTTTATCACTTTACATGGAAATCTTAATTACTCGTTTGTCTTAACTTAATATTGCTTGAGAGTAGTTTTGACAGTATTAATTGAAAACAGTATGAATGTTGATGTCTAAAGCAATCTAGTTGGGAAGACAGGAAGCAGATAATTACCATCTAGTCAATAGTCATTGAAATTCATCCTGTCCTGAGTGAAGGACCCTCATACACTGACTGCTTTAGGGGTACTTTTCAGAGTAAAAGAGCCTGAGGATTTGGGATTTGGGGTGGGCTTTTTTTGCCCACGCAATATTTTGTAAAAATCAAGAGGGGATTCAAACTCACAAAAACGAAGATATTTTCTTTTCTGTCTTATTGCCACAAGCCAAAAGCACCCAGCAAGAGGTGAGGAAAGCTAGTCACTGTAGTAAGTACACATTAGATTCCAAACGCCTCGGGCAATTGTTTAACACTCGGTCACGAAGTGCAATACTGAAGCTTCGCCTCTACCCAAGGGTTCTTCAAGAGCCTAAGGTTCGTCTTTTTCAAGCGGAGACTGGATAGCACAACCTGCAGTCCTAGGAGATACAGGGCGCCAGATCTCAAACTTTCCCCTGCAAAAGCAGTTTCTGGGAATACCGCGTTCCCCACAGATAAGTGAAGATCAGTAGCGTAAAGAAAACACCTCTTGGTTGACACCTAGCCTTTTAGAATAAAGCGGGGGGGGGGGGGGGTACAGCAAAGCAGTTGAGCAGAAAACCCGTGTAATATTAGCAAGATTTGGGAGACCTCTATCCGGAAAGATAGAGAAAAATCATTAGTTTCCCCAAAGCTGTTCTTTTTCTGAACGCTGTTCATAAAAGAATCCTTGATGGAAGCTCTCTTGTAGTAGTAGCCTTTACAAAAGCTTTAATTCATTCACTCATAAAGTGATCCCAAATCTAAATAAAGCTTTAAATAGACGAGGCTCAGGAACTTATCAACACGATTCTTTATGAAAATAGTTAGAGATGGAGAAATCAATAGCCCCACTGARACGCCCACGCTCTGCAGACAGGCCTGGGAATTAACTAATCAGAAGTGGACAGAAAGTAGGGATTTCAGAAAGGCGACCTGACACATTCCATTGATCCTTGAACGCGACCCCCAACTCCTTACTAGGAGTCCAAAATGATTACGGAGCAGGATTGGTCTTGGGGAGAGATCGCATTAAACCCCACTTTGACCGAAGGACTCGCTGTGTAACCAGAAATGGGGCAAAGAAGAGAGGGAGGGCACTGCTCGCCGGGCCTCCTTCCGCACGCTCCCATCCCCTCTCCACGTCCCTCTACTCCGCCCCTACCCTGACAGCTTGCGGGGGAGACGCCGGCTGCCGGATCAACATCTGCCCCCATCTCTTGCCTCCCTGGGCGAACCCCGTAAATCCCCTGGCCCCCGAGACAGGGGAGGGGAGACGTGTACCCACGGGGGGCTTCGGAGCCCGCGGTCCTGTAGTTGCAGCTCGAGTCCCCAGAGCCCGCCGGCGACCGGAGGCGCGGCTCCCACCTACCTGCAGCCCGGCTTCCCGGTGGCGGCAACACCTAGCGATGTTCCTGCAGTTTCCGCGGGCCGGCGCCAGCCTTATCGCTCTCGCATCGCTTCCGAGATGCCAATCCGCCGTCACCATCCAGGGGCATAGGGAACCGAAGTCTGTTGGTGTGTGCTCGTGGAGGGCGTGTGAGTGTGGCCCTAAGCGTGTGTGTGTGTGTGTGTGTGTGTGTGTGTGTGTCCGCGCGCGCGCGCGTATGAGTGTGTTTCCTCCTCCGATGGCAAAGAGGGTGCAGGAATCTTCACATCCAAACTAGAATCCCCTTAAAGCAAGTGGAAGGCGGAGTACAGGAGCCTGGTCTTTCTGTCCCTCCTCTTTATTCCACAGTGTCAAAGTAATCAAAAGATTTGTTTACTGAGGAAAAAGCCAAAGTCCCGCAGCCCTTGGCAGCGCCCGCGGTCGCCCGCTGTCCTCGCCGGATGCGCGCTGTGCGCTCAGCTTCCCCGACTGCGAGAATCAAGGAGGGCTTGCAGCAATTACCGCTCTTATTCCATCTCTGATGCGTTGCCTTTTAACCCCGAGTAAAGACTTCTCCTCTACCCTCTCGTCGTCTCTTCCTTTCACACACACACACGCACACACATCCTCCGTTCCCTCTCTCTCCCGCCCTCCCTCTTGCTCTCTGGGGAAAGGCAATTGGACGGAATGATTCACCTTCAGAAAAGCAGCCTCCGCGCCACGTACTTCCCCGGCTTTTGCAGGTCGCGATCTCCAAGGTAGAGGAGTTGCTGGGGAGGCTCAGGGCAGGAAAAGGAGAGGCTCTGAACTTAGCCAACGCCCCCCACCCCGCAAGACGCCCGTGTTCCTCGGTTTCGGTGCCCCTGTTTCCGCAGTTCGTAGATAGGTCCCGCTGGTGCCCTCTTGGAGACTTTGAGCCGTCAACTCGAGTCCACTTAGCAGCAACTCCTGGCCAGCTGCAGCCTCTCACTCCCGCCTCGAAGTGTTGCGGGCAGAGCCCCACGCAGCCCACCCGCTGCCCCTCTAGGCATCGTGTGCTGGAAGGAAGGGAAACCCTCCGCTGTCCCACGGTCACCACCAGTGCGCTGGCACTGTCACCACCGAGAAGGTGCGAGTTCCAACATGGAACACGAGAGAGAGCAGATGTGGGCTGTAGCACCTCGCTAAAAGAGGGAGGGGAGGAAGAAACAGGGGAGGGGGTCGAGGAAGCAAATCCAGATCACTCGAGAAAATAAGCCAAAAACAATCAAAGCCTCCTATCCGCGTCCCGCCCCAGCCTCTGTAGTGTCAAAATACACTAGTGGTAATCTTTAGAAAGTCACCATAAAGGGCAGAGCCCCTGTTTCACCCTAGACCCCTATTCTACCCAGTCTGGCTGTCCAGGGATACAGAGCGACTGTCCCCGCTGTATAGTGCAGAGAATGCAGGGAGAGAATAGGTCCTGACACTCCTGCTTGAGTTAAAGCGGTAAAATGGGATGGCAGGACTAGGCAGCGTAGCCTCTTTTTCTCTCCAAACAGCCAGTTCTGTTAGTGGCAGCAGCTGCTGAGAGCAAACCGCGGTCCTGCAGAAAAAGAGACAGTAAAAGAAGCAATCGGTATAAATGCTGGACTATGTCTCCCTCTAGAGGGAGAATCGGATTAGAAAGCTTTACTGTATGTAACTAGGACTCCCAATTCTCCACAAAAAAGAAAATATATCTGGTTTTGAGAAGCTTGCATTTTTTTTTTTTTTTTACAAATTGCAGCCTCTAATGGAGTTAGGAGGAGGATTTACACTACGTCCCTATGTAATCAGATTTCTTTAAAAAGGAACTTCGTGGTATTTACCAATTTTTTTTTTTTTTTTTTTTTTTTTTTTTTTTTTTTTTTCAACACCCTACCCTGGAAGGTCATGTCTTTTACTGGTTTGGTCAAATTGGGTGGGTGTTGGTTTAAACAGTATGCATATGAACTCAAATGACGGG